CAAAGTGGTCATTAAAATTCAAATAAACTAATAACACTCAGACAGTTGTATTTTAAGGTCTTTAGAGACTTGCACAGTGATCAGACGGGTATTTGGACCATTTATCTGGTCTCATAAATATATCTTGGATGTCTAACCTGAATGACTCTATCCACGTCATGCCACAGCATCGATTGGGTTAAGGACACAATTCCTTGACTTGGTAATTCACAAGCATTCATTTTCTTCTTTTTCAACCTTTCATAGTTACAGTAATTGGTTTAATTGTTATGTGAATTACTGGCCTGAGGTACCAAAGCACTCCCAAACAATATATACGTTGTAATCTACAGATGTGAGGGCTATAGGTCTGTAGTCCATGAGTCTCTTTTTGGGCATAGAAATGATAGCGGAGGCCTTCAGACAGGTGGGAACGGTGGCATGAGTCAGGGAGAGTTTGAATAACCTGATGAGGATCCCTGCCAGTTGGTTCGCACAGGCTTTAACCACAGTCCCTGGGATGCCGTCAGGTCTTCCGGGATTCACCCCGGTCTTTTCCTGACCTAATGTTCCTGGAGGTACAGGGGGGATGTGCTGGGTGAAGGGGAGGTGGGGAGCAGGGTGAGTCGTGGAGGGGTGGTCTCAAACCAAGCAAAAAAGGTGTTGAGCTCCTCTGCAAGTTTGAGGCTGCTGTTAGATGCTTCTACTCTTGATAGGATTTGGAGTGTGTGCGTGTTCATTATACAGCGTGCATGCTGCAGAGAGTGAGAGGGAGCAAAGGGGACTGAAAAAGTTAATAAGTAGTGATGAAACTGGCTGAAATCCTCAGAGAGGAGAATCCCGCTGTGTGAAACACAAATGAGTTTTCCTTATTTTCATTCCTCAAGAGTTGGTGGTTCAGTGTAGCAGAAACTCAGCGTCCTTCATGTTTGGTAATGGTTAGAATGGTTTAGACGATTACATTACACAAGAGCAGTGGCGGTCAGCAGAGAATCCGATTACTTTTTTCAAGTAACGAGTAAAGTAAGGGATTACTATTGCAAAAACGGTAATTAGATTACCGTTACTTTCCCGTAGGAACGCTGC